TAGGACAGAGTCTTGTTCCTTAAAGACTCTGAATAAGCAAATGACTGGAGCGTGGTGACAAGAAAGGAGAGTGGTGAGAGACCTCCCCGGGAGGAAATCCTGCTGGGCCGGGCGGGATTGTGCTGGGTGCTGTGCTGACAGCTTCCCTTGATTTCTCTCTTTCACTGGCACTGTAAGGTGAGCACTGCTTTGGTATTTAAGAAACCGTGGCCCCCAAGAGGCCACACCCTGGGAAGTAACAGGGCAGGGTTCACATACCAGCCCCTGGGGCCTCACAGGCAACTGTGGCTGTTGTTGCCTCCTAGAGAGGAAGCTGAGCCCGTCACTTCTAACTTCCATGTCTTACTACAGAGCTGGGGCCAAAAAGAAAAAAATGTAATACTTGCTCAATAAGTGTCACCATGTTATAAAAGCAAGACCTCTGGCTGGGTGGAGAGGAGGCTCAGTCATTAAGAGCACTGGCTGCTCTTCCAAAGGACCCAGGTTCAATTCCCAGCACCTTCATGGCAGCTCATGACCGTGTGTACATTCAACCCCAAAGGATTCGACAGCCTTTTTTTTTTTTTTTTTTGGTTTTTTCGAGACAGGGTTTCTCTGTGGCTTTGGAGGCTGTCCTGGAACTAGCTCTTGTAGACCAGGCTGGTCTCGAACTCACAGAGATCCGCCTGCCTCTGCCTCCCGAGTGCTGGGATTAAAGGCATGCGCCACCAACGCCCGGCTCGACAGCCTCTTATGAGTTGCATGCACACACATCCAGGCTGTCTTAGTTAGGGTTCCTGTTGCTGTGAGGAAACACTGTGACCAAAGGCTTGGGGCGGAACCTAGAGGCAGGAGCTGAAGGGGAGGCCACGGAAAAGTGGTGCTTACTGGATTGCTCCTCATGGCTTACTCAGCCTGCTTTCTTATGGCACTCAGAACTACCCCTCCCCCACAGGGGTGACATCTCCCACAAAACAATGCCCTCCCCCATTTGTCACTAATTAAGAAAATGTGCCACAGGCTTGTCTATAAAGCAATCTGGTGGGAGTATTTTCTCAATTAAGGTTCCTTCTTCCCAACTGACTCTTGCTTGTTTCAAGTTGATAGAAAAATTAGCCACCACCTCAGGCAACCCCCCCCACCACACACACACAAAAGTTATAATTTGAAAGAAAAGAGAGATATGAGTGTGGCACATTGGTATGCAAGGTTCAGCACACATGCATGTAAACACACACACACAGAGTTTTTTTAAGGAAACAGAAAAAAGAGAGAGAAGGGGGAAAGAGTGTCTCCTTCAGAAGAGGTATGCAGGGGTTGGAAATGCTTCATGACTCTGACCAGCAGGGGGCACTCTGGAGGCTGTGGGAAGACTGACCAGCAGGGGGCACTCTGGAGGCTGTGGGAAGACTGACCAGCAGGGGGCACTCTGGAGGCTGTGGGAAGACTGACCAGCTGGCAAAGGTGATTAACTGGATCTGTGTGCTGTCCTGGGTTGCCAAGAGATGGTGTTCCTACTGCTCTCAGCCGTGGAGCCAGCTCTGGTTACTGCTGACAGGCCCCTCAGGAGAGTGCCAGAGAACCATGTCCTTCCGCGTCCTTCCCATGCAGGCAGGGTGGTGGTTCCCCTTAGGGAACCTGTGGGGCCTGTGTCAGTACTCTGAAACTCTCAAGGGACCTCTAAACTCTCAAGGAAGGTACAGACCACTGGACAGTACTGAGCAGGGACAAGGTCTGGGAGTGGGTGGGTGCAGGAGATTGGGAGAGAGTCCTGCGCTCTCCCTGAGGAGCCACACCCCCAGCCTTATTTGTTTATTTATTTTCTGTGGCCTTGGGGATTAAATCCAGGACTGTGCACATTCTAGGCAAGTGCTCTACCTCTAAGCTTTGTCTGCAGTCTCTTCATTTTCCATCTGGAAATGGAGTCTATACAGGTTCTGGAAACTGGTATAGAACTTTCTCTGCAGGCCAGCCTTAGATTTCCAATGCCCCCTGCCTTAGCTTCATGAGTAACTGGGATAACGGGCATATACTAAACGATATGGAAATGGGTGGTCATAATCATGATTTTTTGGTTGGGAATGAAATCCAACTCACCTTGAACGTAATAAGACTGGGTGGTCTTTAAAAGTCCAGCCATGGGTCTCTAAAGGATAAAGCTTAGTGGCTGATCCCCTGAGGGTGTGTTTGGCTATGCCCTCTCCCAGTGGGCATCAGAGTGTGTGGGTACTTCCTCGTGTCGGAGGGAGGGGGCGGTCAGTTAAGCAGTGACACAGTGGTCTATGGTAAATGGGATGGAACAGCTGTGGGATTCTGCAGCCGAAAGCCTCTGTCCCTACTAGGATAGAGATCCCTTCACCCAGATTCGCAGGCTCCCCTTCCTCTTTACCCAAGAGGCCTTGGCAGAAGACCCAGGAGATCAATCAGAGTGCCCAGATGTGCCGATGATGGCATCAAAGTGGGGAAGACCTGGCTGTCAGTCTTCCAGGAGGCTGAGGTGGACTAGGAGTGGCTGTCCACAGCCACAGCTGTGCAGGCTAAGCAAGACGATCTGCCAGGCACTCATGCCATAAATGTCCCCACAGTGGAGACACTTTAGGACTGTTTCCTGTAGGCCAGGCAGGGCCACCTCCCAGGGAGTGCTGGGGAACCTGAGCTATGACAGGCACTCAGGTCACTTCAGGAGCAGCTAATGGTCAGCTGATGGTGCGAGGGGCTATTCCTCATGCCTCCAGCCCATTCTGCTGAGCCATGACTATTTCCAAGTGTGGACAGAGAGCCGATTATATAACAGGCTAGGAGTTAGAAGATGAGGTGAGGGTTGGGACCGTCCTCATTTTCCCCAGTCAGGGTGGCACCTTAAAGGTGCGGGAGGAGCAGAGGACCCAGAGGAACCACTGAGGAGAGCTACACAGCCAATCAGCCTGCTCAGATGGCCCATCCTCCTCTTCATGAATTGAAGCTCGAAACCCCCCAAGCTCTGCCTTGCTCAAATCTGCCCTTGCCCTCTGGAAGAACCCTGTGCCAGTTCCCACAGCCCTGCTCCTTCTGTGGGTGTGAGAGGGTTACCTTCTGGAGTATGGTGTGGGAGATGGGTACTCTGGACTTCCTTCTTCACAGTGTGTTTCCAATGCGCTTTACTGCTTGAAGTGGAAAGATATATTCTTTGAGGTGTGGTTGTCACTTAAGAACACAGTCCGGGGCTGGAGAGATGGCTCAGAGGTTAAGAGCACTGGCTGCTCTTCCAGAGGTCCTGAGTTCAATTCTCAGCAACCACATGATGGCTCACAACCATCTATAATGAGATCTGATGCCCTCTTCTGGTGTGCAAGCACACAAGTAGGCAGAACAATATACATAATAAACAAATAAATCTTAAAGCCGGGCGTTGGTGGCGCACGCCTTTAATCCCAGCACTCGGGAGGCAGAAGCAGGCGGATCTCTGTGAGTTCGAGGCCAGCCTGGTCTACAGAGGGAGTTCCAGGACAGCCTCCAAAAACAATACAGAGAAACCCTGTCTCGAAAAACCAAACCAAACCAAACCAAACCAAAACAAAACAAAAAAACCAAATAAATCTTAAAAAGAAGAGCACATCCCAGCAAATTGCTCTGGTTTGACACCCCTCAGCCCTGCTTGCCTGAGTGGTCTGCAACCAGTCACTTAGGCATTGCAAGCCTTACTTTCCTATGTAGAAACAGATCAGGGATACCACTATTCTCCTTAGTCATGAGGATCTGAGCAGTTTGTATGCACGAGGCACTTAAACAGCTCCTGGCCCGAGGTCAGCACTGTGTAAGTGTTGGCTATAATTAGACAGTATTTGCAGATCACTTTCCTCAGCCTTGGCTCCTAATAAGTGCTTGGTGAAAGGCTCTTGTTATTTTTAACTTCTTTCTCCTGCACTACCTTAATCCCTTCCATAAACCCACCTTTATTAGCCTTGCAACAGGGAAAGCGTGTGTATCTTACATTTCTCAAGTGTTTATAGTTACAAAACATGTCTGTCCCAACCTCACAGAAAACCTGTGAGCTATCAGTTTGCAGAGCCAGGGACAGGGTGTGATCTGTCTAGAGGAATCAGCTGCTAAGGGGTGTGTCCAAGCCACTGGGCAGAGTACTCTGACCTCGGGCACCAGAGCTTGCTTCTGGGTAATATGGCCAGAGCATGCCAGCTCCAGGCTGCCAGGACAGATTAGCAGGGGGAGGGAAGAGAGGTCCTGCTGGTTCCAGTGCTGGGAGCATTCAGAGTTGGGAGAGAGAAGTCTACAGGCTTTATAATTATCTCTCTTCCTAGAGGCTAGAGGCTTCTCAGGAGCTGTGTCATTCTGCCCTCTACTGGCCATAAGTGGCACTGTTGACTTAGATGAGAGAAAGTGGGTCTGTCTATTCATAGACATAGACTATCCAAGGCCTATTGGGTGCCAGATCGTCTCCTAGGGACCAGAGAGCTCAAAGCTCTCAAAAATCCCGGGCATGGGGCATGGGGAAAGTAATTGAGAAAGAGACCCATCATTGACCTCTGGTCTACACACACACACACACACACACACACACACACACACACACACACACACACGCAGGTGCACCCTCAGGCATGTACACACGGGAACATGTGCACAGACAAAGCACTGAGCATGGTGATATATGCCTATAATCTATAGCTCGAGATGCAGGAGGATCTTTGGGAGTTCAAGACCAACATGGTTTACATATCAGAGTTACATAGTCAGACAGTCTCAAAAAGGGGGAGAAAAACCCCCAGGGCCTTGGGGCTGGAGAGATGGCTCAGAGGTTAAGAGCACTGCATGCTCTTCCAGGGGTCCTCAGCTCAATTCCCAGCAACCACATGGTGGCTCACAGCCATCTGTAATGAGGTCTAGTGCCCTCTTCTGGCCTGTGGATATACATGCAGACGGAATACTGTATACATAATAAATAAATCTTAAAAATAAATAAATAAAAAACAGGGCCTTTCATAGAGATACAGTCCTATTCTAATAAAGGAACCTAGACAAAAATATATATGCCAGAATGCCTTTTAATAAAAAGTGCAACAACCCAAACAGGAAGGGGAAGAAAAAAAAAAGAGTCTGGGGAACAGCAAAAGAGTGCCAGAGAGTTCAACGACCGAGGATATCCTGGCTTCTGGGAGGCAACGGAGTAGCAGGGCCTAGGTGACATGAGAAACACGCCACTCTCTGGGAAAGGCCAGGGGGACAGAGGAAGAGTCAGAAGGCGCTGTGTCGGGGAAACGCCAGGTGCGCTGGAAAAACAATGAGGACACAGGGCTGGGAAGGCAGCCAGGTCAAAGAGGCAGTGACCTCCCACTTTCTTCCCTTGATGGCACACCAGGAAGAGCACCACGTGGGCTTGCAGGGCCAGGTAACCTGCTGGAGACCAATCCCACCATGGACGGTGACCTGGAATGGCGCTGTGTTACTTGCCCTTAGCCTGTGCGGTGTGCCCTCCTGCGCTGAAGAAGGTACTCACGGGTGGGCAGGGAAAGCGATTTCACAGGACAAGGACTCCAGTCTGTTTGCCTGGCTTCAGAGCCCAGGCTTTTGGAGAGTAAAAGAAAAAGGCAGGACACAGCATTTAATACAAATACCCCATTTACCTTATTTTACGCTTAGAAAACGGGCTGCAAGGGCTGGCGAGATGACTCGGGTGGGAAGGGCACTTGCCAGCAAGCGCGGCAACCTCAGGTTGATCCTCAAGACTCACATGGTGAAAGGAGAGAACCGACTCCCACAGGTTATCCTCTGACCTCGACACACATGGTAGATAAATAAATAAAACATAATACAATTTAAAAAGAAGACAGACTGAAGTCGATATATTCTGTGATGGGGTGATGAAACCAGATCTCAATAAAATAAAATAAAATAAAATAAAAAATAGACCTAGTAGAAGTCAAAGAAGGAACTCCAACCCAGAAACCGGGGGCCAGGTGTTGAGGGGGAGCAGTGCCCAAGTATGCCAGCAGAGGGCGACGCCGCCCTGCCGCTCTGCCTGGGACCACAACCCTCGCCCGGCCCACCGCTCAGGGCCAGTGAGAAATGGGTGCCTCCAAGCTGGGGCTAGAAGTGGGAGGGAGGTTATCCCCTCGGGGGAACGCGATGAGTGTGCGGCGGGAGGCCAACGGAGGCATAGAGTGGGGTGGACGTGGCAAAGAGGGCCCGGGTGTGCAAGAAGGACCCAGCTGTGCAAGAAGGGTCTGACTTGTGCAAGGACAAGAAGGGCGCAGCAGAGGCGGAGAGGGCCGTTGTCACATCTCTGGACTTCTTAGGCATTGAGATCGGCTGCTGCAGGGCGGGCGGCGGTTACTCACTTAGGCTTCGCCCCCTGCTTCCCTGCCAGCTCCCTGTGAAACACAAGGCAGAGTCCTCATGTCCACCCACACCATACTCGTGGCGGCTCCGCCTCCAGGACAGAGCCTGCCTTTGCAATTCAGCCGTCAGCCTCTCAGCCCAAGGATGGGCGAGGGTGGTGAGGGCGATGCTCAGCTGACTCTACTGGGGTGTCGCCTCCTTATTCCACTCCATTTTAACCAAGTCCAGAACTTGCATGTCAGCCCTGAAGTCTCGCTCGCAGCTGCTGGGGCACAAACTCCCGGCACCAGGACGAATCTGAGTTCTTCCTCCCAAGGCTTAATTGTTTATGTACAGACGAGCCCCAACCTGCTGTGGGCTTCTGCCCTGGCGTCCACCTCCTCACTGGCTGCATCCAGCTAGTTGTGACCCCCAAGCATCCAACTGGGTGGAGATGCCAGTGTCTCCAAAGGCATCCTAGCCTTCCAACAGCTGCATCCAGTCTGTGAGAGAGGTGGCCAACAGCATAGAGGGGTTCTGTGCCAGTGGGAGCCTTAGGTCCCCTGGTCTCCCACACCCAAGAGCAGATGCACCCCATTACTCAGTCAGAATTTGCAGTTCACGGTGTTGGTGGGAATGGGTTTAAGCCTAGTGTAATCTACATTCAACACTTATCAATACATCCTTACATAATAGCTGATGTTTTTTTTTCTTGGTATTATTTGTTTTTATGTTGCTTTCTAAGACAGGGTCTCAATTCTGCAGCCCAGGCCAAACTTGAGATCCTCCTGCCTCAGCCTCTGGAGTGATGGGACTATAAACGGCGCTGCCTTCTCCTTCTCCTCCCCACCCCCATTATCTGGGATCTTTCCACGTTGTCCAAGCTGACTTCGGCGCTCCTGTGCCAGCCTCCCAAGTAGCCGGAACCACAGGTGCCCACCGCGCTACCCAGCTTTGGGGTAATTTGAAAAACGCAAACGCACTGGTCCAACCTAGAGCCCCTGGACCAGAAAAGGGTAAAGGGAGGCGGTGGGGGAGGGGCTGACAAGTGCTGTGAAATGTGTGGCAATCTAACCACCAAGCTGGTGCTTGTTTGACCATAGAAAGCAGGGTTCGAGCTGACCTTCCACAAAAGAGGAATCTGGAGAATTCCAGACAGTACTGTGTTTGCTGTACAGCTGGGACTGCCACACTATGGGCTTGCCATGTGGACCCAAGAATCTTGAGTGAGTCTATGTGACCCTCCAGGAGCTGTTGGGAGAGGGGCTCACCAAAGGCGACACTTGTTTCACTTTTACTTTTTGTATAAATGTGTATGTTCTCTCTCGAACCGCCGGCTTCCAGGAGGGAAACTGGCCGAAGGCGAGGTCTCCCTAGGGTAGAAATTCAGTGGCAGGTCAGCAAGCGTAGCTCCTCCTGCCCAGTGAAGGGTGGGAACTCTCAGACTCCAACCATGTTGGTGAAAATCAAGTGTGTTCAGTGTTCTGGGTTTGTTCTCTGTCCCTCCACAGGGACAGGGCCGCCTCCGATCTCTACTGTTGGATCTCCGCTCAGTGCCAGGCCCAGGAAGCAGAGGTGAATGGAGGAGGGTCCCTCCCTTGATAGCCTGTAGGCTATGAGACATAAGGAGAAGCAATGGGGACCAGATAGGAGGACATCAGAGTGATTCCGATAAAAGACTAGCGGACAAGGAAGGCTCAAGATTCTTGGAGTGTGGCGCCTGATATTGGAGAGGCCACAGGAGAGAGATGCTGTGTGAGCAGGGCCCAGAGGTGTAGTGTTCCAAGGTCACCACCAGGGGGCTGCACCCTGTCCTACTCGCAAGTGTCTCATCTCATCTCATCTCAGTTCCAGAACTCTGTCGCCTCTCCCGAGCAGCACATCATTTCCACTTTAAAGTCATTTCATCTGCCCATCGATGCAGAACCAGGCAGCCGTCCCCCAGACAAAACTTGCCGCCTCTGCTGACCTTGGGGAATCCCGTGTGTCCCTCATTTCTCCAGCTCCACCCCTTGTCTGGTGAGCAGAAAGGACCTCCTAGGTCTCGCCTCTGCTCTTGCTGTCACCCCTCTTAAGTTCTCTGGTGTGGTTTTCTGGCGGAACCTAAAGGATTGTGAAGTCGCTTCTTCAGCAGATTTTTTTTTTTTGAGACAGGGTTTCTCTGTATTGTTTTGGAGGCTGTCCTGGAACTCGCTCTGTAGACCAGGCTGGCCTCGAACTCACAGAGATCCACCTACCTCTGCCTCCTGAGTGCTGGCAGTAAAGACATGTGCCACCAACGCCCGGCTTCAACAGACTTTTTTTTTTTTTTTTTTTTGGTTTTACGAAACAGGGTTTCTCTGTATTGTTTTGGAGGCTGTCAGTCCAGCCTGGCCTCGAACTCACAGAGATCCACCTGCCTCTGCCTCCCGAGTGCTGGGATTAAAGGCGTGCGCCACCACCGCCCGGCTTCAGCAGACATTTTTATGTGTGCCAACAAAGCCCTTTTCCACACCCAAGGCCCTTACATGTGCCCCCGAACCATGTTCTGAGAGCCCACCCCTCTTCCCTACCTTAGTGGGAACGTTCTCATTCACATGGGACTCTGGTCCCCCTCTGAATGCCTTCCTCCCTCTGAGATCCGGTTCCTCTGCTCTTTCAAGTCCCACCTTTCGTTTACCCCCCCCCATCTCCACTGTCCTCCCACAAGTGAGCCTTACAGTTTTACAGGCTCACCCCATTCCTCACCTCAGGGTCTCTTTGACCCTGCCCCTCCTCCAGGAAGCCTCCTCTCTCTGGCCCAGTGTGGAGGGGACAGGACCTAGGAGATCCTGGGGTCAGAAGTTATGTTGGAGAGATGCGGCAGATGCCCAGCTCTGTGGCGACCTCGGACGGAATCTCATCTGAAGGGCCGTATCTTTTCTGGTCACACGTGACACCTTCAGTGGAACCCACTTTCCTCCCTGGAATTTCTGGGGGCCCCTTGTAGCCTGGGGCAGAGCAGAAGGCTGGTAGGAAGGGGAGGGAGGCAGGGCGGGGGATACCAACCACACAGTATTGCAGTCCCTGCTCCTTTCCACACACCCCCACCCCCTCCGCCAAACACGATCCCTGGGTTAATTTTTAGCAACACAGCTCACACATTAGTCACTCCCTGTCACCCACCTACACGGCAGGAGGCTGGTGCCGTCATCCATCAGCTGAGAGGTGGGATCTGGTCCCACCCTGGACCACTCTCCCGCTCTCCTGGGTGTAGAGGACCAGCTGGGCAGGAGCCCTTTCAGCCTGGGACATCACTGCTGAGACCAGTTGCCTGGCGAGGCAGTGGGGACAGACTGGTGACAGTGGGTCGGGAACACACTCAGGAGGAAGCCAGGGAGGTCCAGGAACCCCGTACACCAAGCAAGGGCTGACCTGTACCAGGCAGCTGGTCTCCTGGCAGCCATGGGCTCTGGGAACAAAGGTGTGTGAGGGCTCCTCCTCCAGCCCTGAGCCCTAAGGACGCACAACAGCCTCACTGCAAGCAGCTGTTCAAACACAAGAGCAAGGGAAAGCTGGTTTCCTCTTCAAATGTCTTCCCTTCCCAAACCAGGAAACCACAGTGGCAAGATGCAGGTGCTACCATGACAGCCACTGCCCAGCCCCACAGGGACATTGTAGGAGGAGCCCATAGGTGCCAGCTGCAGGTGAAGCAGAGGAGGGGCCGTCTGTCCCCAACTGGGGCTGACAGATGGAGAGGCAGGGTTTCCCCTTATCCAGCTGTGCTCCCAGTAGGCACGGCACTTGAGGGGGGGCCTTGGATGAGGCCCTTCGGGGGCAGCAGTAATAACTGCTCACAAGTTGGTTTTTTGTCTTCCTTGTTTATCACCATGATAAGGACTGAACACAGGACCTCACACATGGAGTCTCTGACGCTGAGCCACGCCCCAGCCCTGAGGTACAACTTTAGGTAAGGCTTTGTACCTCCTCCAACCGTGGCAAGAGACAGACACAAGAATATCAATACAAGAAGTCAGTGTGATTACTAAGCTAGAGAAAGTGCCATAAAGAAAACAAACAGCTTGAGATAAAGAATAATGGGGACAGAGATTGATACCAGTAGGCTCAGAAAAATATTTGAGGGGGTGTGTGAAGTTGGGATCTCAGGACAAGGAATCAACCCAGAAAAGTCAAAGGAGAGGGAACAGCATAAGTAGAGAGACCAGAGGCCAGAGACCCAAGGCAGAGTTAGGAATAGGAGCAGATAGTTTGGTTTACATGCCAGTGGCGTGAAAGGAGAAAAAATTCAAAGAGAAGATTCTGTAAGGTCTCATGCAAACCATCCCAACAGAGTGTGGCCAGATGTATGCACCACACAAGGGTTCCAATGGCTGGATGACTGGACCCATGTGGTGATGTGACCTCTTAAGAGTGAGGTGATGGGCAGGCCATGGCAAAGAGCTCAGACTTCGTGTTTTTCTTCCAGGGGACGCTGTGATGGGTTTGAAGCAGAGAGTTGAGATTCGATTTACTTTTAAAAAGAAAAAATTACATGCTTGTAATCCCAGCACTCAGGAGGCAGAGGCAGGTGGATCTCTGTGAGGTTGAGGTCAGCCTAGTCTACAGAGCAAGTTCCAGGACAGGACCCAAGGCTATATAAAGAAACCCTGTCTTGAACAACAACAAAAAAGTGCATTTTTTAAGTGTGTGTATGTGAGAGAGAGAGACTTATGTGTTTCGTACAGTTGTACATGTACCCCCGCAGCCAGTTGGTGCCAGAAAAAAACTTTCAGGAGTTGGTTCTTTTCTTTTGTTGGGGTTCCGGGCATCAAACTCCGATCATCAGATTTATGCGACATGTGCTTTTACTTGCTGAGACATTTTACTGAACCCTGATTTTTTTTCCTTTTTGAAACAAGGTCGTCTCATGTCGCCCAGGCTGGCCTAACTTTCTGTGTAGCTAACTGAAGCTGGTCTTGACCTCTTTGATCCTTCTGCCTCCACCTCCCAAGTGGTCGGGTACCATCTCTGGGCTTGCTTTCGAAAGGGCCAACTGACTGTTGTGTGGAGGATGCTTGACACGAATGAGGAAGAGGTGGGGCCCACACACGAAGGAAAGCACAGTGTATGGAGTGGGGTCCACCCAGACTTCTCTCAAAGCCACCACGGATGCTCGTCACTGCCATGGAGTGGGAGTCATAGGGGCCAGGCCCTGCTCTGCTGCTAGCTTGCTGTGACTACCCCGAGTCTGTCACTCAGCAGGTTGTGGTGACAGTCTAGAGCTAATTCGGAGCACACTGTATAGAGGGCCTTGTGTACTAGGATTGGGCAGGGATAGAGCAGTGAATAAAACAGAGCCCCTCCTGGGCCCTGTTGCAAGAAGCGCACATCCTTGAGTGGGGAGGACAGGCCAAACACTAAACCCACAAAAGTTGAGACACTTCCGGATGGTGACCCACTGTGTCACACAGGGCATGGCCACATCTGACTGAGTGGGCAGGCCTTAGGGAGGTAGATCAAATCCTGAAGGAGTCACTCATGGAAAAGCCAATCCCAAGCCTCAAGAGGTGTCTGTAGCCAACATTCAGAGCAGCATGGGACCCAGAAATGAGTCCCCAGGATTCCCAGGTGCGAAGCATGTGGGGACTGGAAACACTGAGTTCTATGAGAATGGAGTGCCAGGGTTGGGTGGACACTGGCTGTCTGTGGATCTATCTTCTACTCAAGGCAGACCTCAGGTGCTCTCCCTGGTGAGGCAGGCTTTCCCACAGGGACAGCAAGGAACTTTAGACAATTGACCCCTATGCCTATGGCATCTGGGGAGGAAAGTTCCAAAAGTGTACCTGAAGAGGAGGCCCAGGTACGGAAGAGGCGTGGGGCCTCAGTTCAGGCCTGTACACGTTCATTAAAATCCCCTAGACAATTTCCCTGGCTCCAGGCTAAAAGCAAGATGGAAAATGCAGCCTGTTTGGAGGGGGGCTGCATGGAGTCAGAGCTTGCCTGAGCACAGTCCTCCCCCACAGGCAGTTACCACGCTGACACAGATGCAAAAAACCATCAATTTTATACAGTTTGTGGTTCAGAAGCAACATACGCAAAAAAAACCAAAACGGTGGTACAGTCCAGGCTGCCCCACCCCACCTGAAGTAACTCATTCCTGTTCCCCAAGGGGCACAGAACCCAGGACCCCTGCCTGGCAGGACCCACTTAGTTACAGGCCCCTGGAGAGGGGTTAAGCCCTTGGGGGTCAAGGCTGAAGGGAGGGAACCAGCACCTTGCCCCCTTGGGGACCACTGGTTCATTGGTGTGTGTGTGTGTGTCTGTCAGTCCGTCCGTCCATCTGTATGTGTAGGGTGGGGAATGACCCCCCCATCATGGATCCCCTCTACCCAGACAAAGGGTTGGGGAACAAGTAAAGCCGAGGGCTTCTTGGGACAGGGCCCCACAAGGCACAACTGACCCAGACTGCAGGCTGGCACAGCCCTCTTTGGTCCCCCAGACCTCTCCCAACTCCCAGTGTCTATTCTCCCCCTGCAGAGATCCTGTTGCAGTGGGGGGGGGGGAGAGGAAAAGAAAGCAGCCGGGCTCCCTTTTTTTCTCAGAAGAGACAAGCCGTGAACCGGCCTGACTGGCCAGAGCTAGCAAGGACCCTCTCCCGCAGCTTTGGGCTCCTGGGGTCCTTGGACAGGCACTACTGCCCCCACTTTTTGCATTGACTGTTATGATGAATAAATAAATAAATACCTCCCGCGTGCCCACCCGCGCCCCTTACAGCTGGCTCTCCTCTTCCTCCAGGGAGCGGTTGAGTCCGGGGATGAACTTGAGCAGCCGCCGGCGGAAGCTGCGGTACTTGGTCTTGCGTAGGCCAGCGCCACACAGGGCCTGCTCGCGGGCCTCAGTCCAGAGCGCGCCCGGCGCGCCCCCGCCGCCACCCCCGCCCGGGCCCGCGCACCGCACACTGGCACTGCGGCTGAGCGTGGCGCGGGGTGCGGGACACAGCACTGACGCCGGGGCCTCGGCGGAGCCGGGGCCTGGCATGCGCGCGGGGGGCGGCGGGGGTGGCAGCGCCTGTGGCTCGCCGCCCCGGAAAAAGCACGTGTGGTACACTGCGTCTTCAGTGTCCCCCTTGGCTCGCCGCACGCTCCCGCGGGGACCCCCAGGAGCAGCGAGCAGAGGCCCAAAGGGCAGGGAGCCAGGGAGCAGGCCAGCTCCGTAGAGGCAGGAGCGCACGGACTCCAGTGTGTCATAGATGCTTGGGTCCTTCACCACCAGGCCTGTGGGGACAGAAGACCACGGTGCTTCCTGAATCCTGGGGCCCAAGCGCCGTAGGCTAAGGGTCAGAAGGCATGGGCAGGATGTCCAGTTCTTTCCTATGTGGGCCCTGAGCCCCAGCTTTTCTGGCTGTAAAGCTGGCGTTAATAAACTCAAGAGTGTCACTTAGGGACAGAAAGGCAGGCCACAGAAAGGAATGACACACGCAAGCTGCTGCTGCTGCTTCTTTTTGGAGACAAGGTCTCTCTCCACATAGCCCTAGCTGTCCTGGGACTCTCTAATGTAGACCAGGCTGGCCTCGGACTCTCAGAGATCCCCCCTGCCTCTGCCTCCAAGTGCTGGGATTAAAGGCAATGCTCAATCCTAACCTCCGGTGAGCGACTGTGAGAACAGAACAGTATCAGCTTTGGGCAACGTATAACTCCAGGCTCTTCACCGTGGAGCCAGCAGCCAGCAGCCAGCTAGTTCTAAGAGGGGAGTGCGGGTGGGGATGTCTGTGAGGATGTCCCGACCTACTCACCATGAACTAGCCGCTGCTCCTGAACCATGAGGGACCGGTATTCCCCCCACTTCTCATACAGGGTTTGCTGTAAGACACATGCAGCCAACTGTCAGGACTAAGCAGGAGACCAGCAGGATGTGGGGACACACGGATCAAGGGAGGCTGAGGAAGGTGAAGGCGTCCTTGAAGGAGCTGGCCTCAAAGCCAGGGGATGGGAAAAATAGGGTGAAACCTGGATGTGCTGGGTCCCACCTTGAGGTACTGCAGGCGCGCCTCCAGTTCTGCCTTCCGGATGGACGTCCCATACAGAGTTTCCAGTCTGAGGGATTGAGGGGACAAAGCTGAGCGAGCCTGAAGGCTGAGGGAATGCCACAAGGCTGAGCTCAGGAGCGCTTAGGTGCTGCACCAAGACATGGATACCTGAGAACGTTGCCAGACGCCTTGATGATATCAACAATCTCCCGGTGCCGGATGCCTTCCACATTCAGGCCGTTGACACTGGCAATGGTGTCCCCTGCCGGGAAGAGAAGTCAGCACCCAGTCTCCCAGGGCATGAAGGGAGGATTCCAGACAGAAGGCAAAATGGTAACATGGAGAACTACTCCTGAACTCCCTTCCACAGGGGTGGGGAGACCTGGGCATCTCTTTTACCCCACTCAAAATACACAGAACCTAGCTGGGCGTGGTGGTGCATGTTTTTAATCTCAGCACTCAGGAGGCAGAGGCAGACAGATCTCTGTGAGTTCAAGACCAGCCTGGTCTACAGAGTGAGTTCCAGGACAGCCAGGGCTACACAGAGAAACCCTGTCTCAAAAGAACAATAACAACAACAAAAGTGCACAAAACCATAGGCATTTCTCCCAGCACAGAAACCACCAGCTTGACTGGACAGTGACCTAGGCTCGGTGCCGGGACCTGAGAAGAAGTAGATTATCAGGGACACCCCTCAGGAAGCTATCCCCCAGCACACAGCCCTCCTGGGTTCCCATGCTCCTTCTGGAGTTAGCTGCTTCTGTTTGGCCCACACCTGTCTTAGACTCATTCAATACAGGGAAGGCACAGGGTTAGTGCCCAACTGGAAGCTGGCCCTGGCTCTAGGCATGCGAGCCTTTAGCTTTTGAATCGGGTCAGGCCCTGACCCTAGGCAGGGCATGCTGCAGACTTTAAGTGCTTGTTTGCCATCTTAAAAAAAATCCGATATGGATCCTGGCTATGGCTACACCAAAGACAACCAGGAACTACCCAGCAAAGTATTGCTGGTATGTGGACAAGAAAGAAAGTACAGAATGGGTGTGGATTCCTGTAATCTCGGGACGCCCCGGACTGGTACCCTAACTTCAGGGTCTCTTGCTGGAGCATCATTTCCTTGATGAAGGACACAGCACAGGTGTCCCAGCCGGAGTAGGAAGATAGTTCCTCATGGACCATTTTGAGGCAGACCTGGTAGAGTACTTTTCTACCAGATTCTGCCCAGCTGAACTGCACAGCTGCCAGGAGGCAGAACAGCTGCGCAGAAATAGCGTCTTTCTCTGGCTCCACCCTGCACTCAGGGAACCTTGTCACCACACTGTTGCCTGTCCCACTTTGTAAAAGAAGTGCACAGGGTCCAACACTACACAGCCAGTGTGCCCAAATCCAGAGTACAGATTCTATTCATCCTTCTGGCCTTCTCCAAGTTGGAGGATAAAGGAGAAAAAAAAATACCCCTCTGCTTAGGAGTAAAGTTATACACTGTCCCAGAGCCCTGTAGTCTGGGCTCGGCGTCTATCTACCTGGTGTGAGCCCAGCCAGTTGAGCAGGGCTGGACTCGTGAACTCGGCAGACGAAGGTTACCATCTCTACGCGCTGCTCCTCTCGGTGGTGAAGGCCATAAGTCTGTGAGCAAGCAACCGGGGACTCAGAACAGAGGCAAGCAGATCAGCTCACCCTCCAGACTGACCAGATCCCTCACCCCTCTGTGGCCAGCTTTTCCCACCTGGATCTCGAAGCCGAAGGTCTGGCTATCCGTCTTCTCCAAAGTCAGCACCTTCCTGCAGAAGACACAAGGGTCGAGATGACGAGAACCCAGGGAAGTATGGAAGAGCTGGCTATGGTGACCCGAATCTGTAATCCTGGCACTCGAGAGACTGAGGCAGGAGGATGTTCCATTTGCGTCTGACCTACATAGTGAGGGCCTATCTCAAAATACAGTAACAAAAACAGGAGTGTGGCAGCCCCACAGATGTAGAAGTCTGATCTAGAAGGACCCAGAGTCTCCAGTGACAGCTCATTCTTCACAGATTTTTGGAATGCCCTTCCCAAACCCAACTGAAATTGGCCTCAGGGAGCTGCACAGAAGTAAACCAGCCTCCTACAGGGAGAGGGAGGCATCAGGAAAGGCTGGCCCTGAGAAAGGGGTGACACCAGCAGCACCCCAGCCTTCGGGTGAGTCTGACCATATACTCACTCAGGAACTGAGGCCCCCAATTTGGCCCCAGGGTTGGAGCATCCTGGCTCCGCTGCTTTGGGGAGAAGACAGCCCCACCCCCGGGGGCCAGTCACGAGGCTGGGCGCAGACCACAACAGCTCCTCCCAGCTGTGGTGTGGCCAGCCCACCAGATGTGAAGGCTGGGGGAGGGGAGCCTGGGGCCACCCCTTCCCGAACTGAAGGCTGCCTGCTGGACACAATGGTCTGGAACGCCTCCAGATCCTAGCCTGCTGGGGGAGTCCAGAGTTTCCTCTGCCCACCCCCTCCCCTTCCTTCCCGCCAGCCAGAGACAGAATAAAGTGGTTCCTAAGGCCCCTTTGAGTCTGGCAGCCCCAGGAAGGCCCCGGAGAGCAGGCCTCCAGGGCCTAGCCTGAGTCACACCCCCTGCCGCCTAACGCCGGCAGCTCACTCCCCTTCTTTGAAAAGAGCTTTTGGCCCTGTGTATTCTGGGGCAGAAGCAGGGGCCCTGGAAGCCTTGTGTCTGTCCCAGTGCTCTCTGGGTTCCTGCAAGGGTCTGTGAACTCTTACTGCAAAGAGCCAGATGGTAAATATTTTAGGTTTTGTGAGCCCCATGTGGCCTCTGTCATATATTATTCTTTGTTTTTACAACCCTTTAAAATATTAAAAATAGGTCGGGCATGGAGGTGTATGCATTTAATCCCTGCACCTGGGAGGTAGAGGCAGGGGGATCTCTGTGAGTTCTAAGCGAGCCTGGTCTACAGAGTAAGTTCCAGGACAGCCAGGGGTCTGTAGAGAGACCCTGTCTCAAAACAAAAACAAAAACAAGAAAAACAAAACCAAAAAGAATTAAAATAAGTTTCAAAGTGTGTGCATATGTATTTCTTAGTTGAAGAGCCAAACAGGCCAATCTAGCCAGTCGGCCACCGTTTGCTGGCCCATCTCAAAGGAAGCCAGGCCCACATCAAGAATGAGACATGGGCAAAAGGGGACCTGGTCCTAGAGTTGAGCGCCTGGTCCTGTCCACATCTCAGACCCAAGTGCAGCCATGGGATGAGACCCACACAGGACTGGAGGTTTGGGGTGTCAGACTCAAACCTCTGGTCAGAGAGTGCCAGGGCCCACTGGGATGGGCTGGGTTGGCTTAGGGAAGCCACAGGGGACACGTGAGGCCTGTCCCCCAGTGTCTCCTGCTTTCTCCCCACCCTCCACCTCTCTCTAATCCAGCTCTTCCCAGGAAAAGGCAACCGGCAGAGACTGGGGGTGGTGAAGGAGCACCTAATGACTCAAATGTGCCCCCCTTATTCTGCCGCCCCTTCATACAGCCCACACCCCCACCTGCCTCTCAATCCCAGCGGGGAAGTCATGCTCAACCATGGGAGATGCCTCCCAGGGGGCTGGGCTGAGATGCTGCCTGGTGCTCCCCCTCCCCCAACACCTCACTTTTCTGGACCACAGCAGGGGCTTCGGGTGGGGGTGACTCACCGCTGCTGCTCGGGACTCTGACTGAGATTCTTCCAACGGAATCCTGAGCCCTGGGTGGGAAAATGGCAGAAAAGACTATGAGAAGGTGCTGAGAAACCCTCTCTGGCAGGACCTGAGCCCCAGCTCTGGATGTAGAACCCCACTTCCTGCTGCCCGCCTTCCTTCCCAGGTTCACCTCTGCTCTGGTGCTGGTGTAACTATTTTCCAAGTGCAGCTACTCTTATTGTCCCAGCATCCCTGGGACCTCCGGGACTCATCTGATCTGGGTTCTACATGGGTGAACTCTTGGCTTCTACTAACCTGCTTGGGGACTTGGGGATGACTGTGACTCTAGAATGACCTTTGCCATTGGCATCATGTCTGATGGGCCAGGCTTTCCAGGCCCCAAAGCTGAGGCAAGAGCTTTCCCCTAGTTGAAAAGAAGGGTAGGAGGCCAGTGGGCTTAAGGTGCTAACTCCAGGGATCCTGCCAGGTAGGTCTGTCCATTTAAAGGTTCAGGCAGATAGTAGTTTGGGAGAGCAGAGAGTCAGGGGCCCGGGCAGGAGGCTGGTGATGCCAGCCTGAGTGTGGAAGAGGTACCAAAGCTCCTAAGACCAGTTTTGTCTGGGGGGCCGGCTGTGGATGCCAGCCGCAATTGGCCATATGTCCTCCAGGCCCAAGACTCTTGATAACGCTGTGCATTTTTTTTCCTGAGACAAAGTATGTAATAACTAACTAAACCAATCCAAGTCAAACTTGTCTCACACTATAGTTGAGAAACTGGGGACTCTGTTTATTTGTTTGTTTTTGGAGAAGGCAGCTTCTAACTCCTCAGGGCTCCAGATAGCCCAAAACAACCCCTGTCCCTCCTAAGATTTTAGTTCTTGGAGGAAGTCCCATCCGGGACCAGCCCTTTCCCAAAGTGCCAAAACAGCTAGAGGCCTTCCTGGGTTGTGCTCTGGTTAACACTCCCTAACAGCCCCCCCCCAAGCCACCCCAAAGCAAGGAAGAGAAGGGGACCCTCTTCTTCCAGAACCAAAGATTAGCCTCAGGGTGGGGACAATAACCAAATAAGCCAAGGAGGAAGAACTGGGCAGTACAGAGAGACCCCTTTGTTTTTCAAACCGATTTTCATAAAATGCAAATTCTCAACAAGCTGTTCATTGTGTATAGTGGTGAATCGAGGACCAGGAGAGAAGGAGGGGGACGCGTGGAAAGGCCACCCATCCCTTCTTAACCTGGGTCTGGGGTCCGAGCATCTGAGCGCTCAGGTCGTCCCAGGCCAGAGGAACAGCCAGACTAACCGGGAGACACAGAGAGGGAGCGGGTGCGGCCCGCATCCTTCCTGCCCTGTGACCTCTCCGACCGCGTCCGGTCCTGATTGAAGTCAGGAGGGCGGTGCTCTTGCATCCCGCATCTTAGATGCGGGACAAAGCGTGAGGCCCTGAGCCCAGGAAGCCAGGCGTCCCAGCAGAGGGGGTGTTCTCGGGAATTCGCAGCACTACTTGTAAGGGGGCATTAGCCTCTCTCCCGCCCAGGACTCCGGGACCCTCAACTTGTCTGAGGCAAGTGGTGGGGATTTCTTCCCTAGCACTTCCTGCTCCAACTTCAGGAGGTGCTTGGGGGGGGGCCTGAGAGTTTCTAGACTTCTGCACACCGGCAGGCTGAGCGGGAGGCGGCAGAGTGCCAGATGGAGCGAGCCGGAGAAAGGGGGTGCTGGGGCGGAGTTAAGGCAGGAGAGTGGGAGGAGATGGGGCGTCCGCGCGTGGGGAGTGGAGTTCAGTGGAGACCCAACCGAACTGGGGGCGTCGTAGTGGCGGGGGGCCATAGCCTTCCGAGCCGGGAGTGGGCATGTGTGCGCCTTTGGAGGACAGGGCCAAGCGAGGCGGGTGGCCCAGGGTCGGGGGCTGGAGTGTGCTTGAAATGTAGCAGTTTTCAGGAGCTGCTGCGGGTGAGCAGGTCCTGCCGAAAGAACACTGGGTACCGAGTCCGGGGACGCAGGTTAGGGAACGCACCTTTCGGCGGGGCAGGGTGCCCCCGGACACGGCGAGCGCGCGGTACAGCTCCGCAGGGTGGTAGTCCTCCAGCGCTGCGTACAGCTCGTCCCCCGGGGCTCCGGACGGGGCGGCGGCAACTGGGGGGCCCGAGGGGGTCGGGGCTGGCGATGCACGAGCCGCTTCCGAGTCGGGAGCCCGGGCAGCGGGGTCCGGCGCGGCCGCTGCCTCCTCCTTCTGCTGCAGCTTCCTGAGTCGGCGGAGAGTCATGGCTCCGGAGCCCTGCGCCCCTCGGAGGCTGCGTTCACCCCACTTGCTGGTGTTGGCGACGGCTGTGGGAGTCCAGCCCCACGGGCCGCGTGTAGCCTTGCTTTATAGACTCCCGAGAGGCGGGGGGGGAGCGGCCTCCGGTGGCCTCGCCCCCGACAGGCAAGGCACCGCCCCGGAGGGTGGGGGGGACCTGCTATGGAGAGTCCCGCCCACAACGCGCCACAGACTGCTGGTGCTCGGGAAACTCTGGGGGACTGGAGCGCTCAGTGGGGGAAACCTAGTCGCCCACGGCAGCAGGAGGGACAGGACATCTGGGGCGAGCAGGGGTTTACGAGCTACCTTGAAGCGGTCTGTGAAAACGCATTGGATGAGATTTGAAGTTTGGGAATAAGCGATGGTTTTAGTGCTTCGTGGAGATGGAGGCACAGTAAGGAGGAAGGAGGGGGTCAGACTCGATGGGCAAAGATTGCAGGAGGCCCTGGACGGGGCGGGCGGGGGGGGGGGGGAGTACTACGCAGGGGGAGGAATGTGGTTTCTGAAGAAGGAAGGGGGAGACGTCTCTGAACTGACCTCGCAGAAGCCCCCGGGGAGTGAGGGGCTGAGTGGTTCGCCTTCCACTTGCACCCTAGAAGAGCTAACTAAGGCTACTTCCCTTTCCCAAACTAAAGCCAGGGGAAAGGGAGACTGGAAACCTGCAAGTAGGAGATTTAATTTAGAGTCCCTCCTGGATGCTGGAGTTCAGGCTCTCTGTCCTCTTGGACTATGCACCGAGTAGGTGCTCAGAGTTGGGGCATGGCGGGTGCTGAGCCATTCTCAAATCGTGTCTTAGACACCATTCCACATGCTCTTTGTTACCATGGCTGCCAGGCTTCAGGAGAGGCGGATGACCAAGCCCATGTCTGTCGTCAGTGATTCCCACATAAGAAGTGAGAGAGGGAAGTGGTCCCCATCTAGCCACCACAGAGAGAGTCTGGGGCTCCACACTCGGAGATGAGCCAGTACACGTGTTCTTTATATACATCATAACAACCGTAGGAAGTAGGTGCCACCGTTATCCCTTACAGAGGAGGAAGCAGAGACCCAGCAGAAAGCACCTTGTGGGGGAGGGTCACTCAGGGGCAAAGCTGAGGTCCCCAATAAGGCAGCCTGGTTCCAGGGCTCCAGCCTACCCACTCTGACTTCCGTTCTTCATTTTGAGTTTGAGTCCTACTCTGTACCAGGGACTGCCTAGACATTGGTGTAACAGAGGCGCTTGGTCTGGTAGGGGGTAGCATGTTGTACCTCCGATGTGTAAGACACGTAGTATGGTGGGGGGCATATCACAGAGGCAGGAAAGGCTTCTGTCTACCTGTTTAAGTTCACCAGTCTAGCTGTCTCCCTGTGTCTCGCCCACCCCCAGGCCCCCGCGCCCCCACCATACAAGAGGGAGGTGGGAGGGGTGCTCCTCCACACTCAGAAATTGCACAAGTCCAGATGGCAGGATGCTTGTGGGTTTGGGGTAGGGGTGGTTTAGAGCTAAGGCCTAGCTACCTTAATGCTTTTCTCCCCCCTTTAATCACCAGGTGGCCATCAGTTGAGGGGCCAAGGGAGTGTTGGTGAGGAAACATGGGACTCTATTGAGAGCATTAACACAGATGGACCCCTGGACCGTCTGTTGCCTGACAGACGGCATCTGTAGCAGGGGAGGGAGGGGGGATTATAAGGCAGAAGGTCCAAGAGTTTCCATTGTATTCATTCCAGTGCTTATCCGTGCAAGGACCCTCCCCAAAGGGACACTGCATGACCTCCTCTATGTAAGAGCCACGTCTCTACTCCAGAGAGTCACTTAGTGAATCTGTGTCTAACGGCCCCGCTGACACAGACCTCCTTCTGCTAACATAGAGGCAGATACCCCTCCCCATACCCCCAGCTGGTGCAAGTTCCACAGCCTCTGGCTCCAAGTAAGAAACCACCACAGGGAACTGAAGCTCTCACCTAAGAAGGAAGGTACTAGAAAACCCAGAGCAAGTGTGAACCCACAAAAGGCAATTTCTAGTCCTTGGCATGGTTTTCTCAAATCCTAGGATTTTAGAGCCGGAAGGGGCTTTATGTTCTGGAAAAGACGTGTGTGGTCCAAGCCCTCCTGTCTGTAACAGCAGTCAGAGGGGAAAGACTGCCTTGGAATGGGCTTGGGAACCCAGGACTCTTGACAAAGACTGCAGCTGCCAGCTTGGGGAGAGCCGGATTCCTGCTTCCTCTGCTGTCTCCTCAGTTTCTCCAGGTAGTCCCTGGTGCGGCACTGTGGGATGGTGACGCCCTCTGCTGGTCATGAGCCTTGCGGTGGAAACTCTCCGGATTCAAAAGGTGGGCTAGTGTCTGCACCGCTGGGATCCCACTCAGGAGGATCTGTGCTCAGCTGGTCACTGAGTTCACAGTGAGGGACTCGTGAGGAGGGAGGTGACGCAGGTGACAAGCACTGGAGACTGGAGGCTGTTTTCTGGGAACACAACCTCCCTCCACAGCACAGCTCCAGAATTCAGCCTTCTGCTGCTCTCCCCGCCCCCTTGTCCAACATCTGCTCTCTTCCTCCAAGCCGCTGCAGGCCGCCTGCCACTCCAGAATGTCACTTACCCCCTCATGCCTCCCGGCAAATCCCCTGTGGATCTGCTCCTGAGAAATCTATACTCTGCAACTTGTACAGAAGCAGGTGTCTTGTTCCCA